CAGAGAGGCTGGCAGAGGAAATCTGCATGGGACAGATGGAGAGCTGCTACAGGCTCCTGAAAGTTCTTTCCCCCTGTCATGGATAACTTATCTCATCTAGGTGATACTTTGATATGCAGAATACTATTTCTGCCTCCTCCCATGTCTCCCTGCAACACTCCTTTGTTTACCCTGCATATTCACTATTGGGACGGAACACCAAGTAATGATATCACCGAGAAGGGAGGAAAAAGAAAGGAGAGAATACATGTCAGAAACCCATATGACCAGTTCCACGGACTGTTTGAACAAAGTCAAGTTTCATGGCTTTAAAGCTGCAGATGTCCTGGATAATCCAGGTGGCCAAGAAGAGGAGCAATCTGAACAGCAACATGGACCAAACTTCAGATTTACACTCAAACGAAGCATCCAAATCCTTGAAATCGACTGGCAGAATAACCATCAAGTTAGATCATGGCAATAAGTTATACAAGCCTGTGAGAGATTATGCATGCTGATTGTGTCAACTGAAGCAGAGACTTAGCCACCAGAACAGTGTATGCGAGACAAGGAGGCTGGTGGAGCCCACAGACCAAGATGGGACTTCATTCACTCCAACTGGAGCTAGATATGGGCAATAGTCACTCCTGTGTCTCTGATAATCTTCCTCTAAAGCAAAAGGGGTACCTGCTGTGTCCATAATGCTGGCATACACGATTGTGCTCTGTCCAGTTGATTCAGTCACCCACACACCAGCACGAGAAAGAGTCCTACAGTGCACCAGCTCTGAGCAATACCAAGCTTTGATATCCATTCCCCACTGCATCCTGAAGAAGGGAAAATTCCTTCCCAAGATACTGATGGAGGAATGCCACAGCTTGTCCCCTACGGTCAAGTGACAACCCAGAGCATTCAAAATCTCAGCTTCCACTCGCTGGATTTAAGACATGAGTTCTTTCCTCCCCAAGTCACCACTAAGTGATTTGGAAGGTGCACAGTCTCTTCAAATAACCAAGTTTAAGTTGTAACAAGTCACCCACCCTCACAACAATACATTAAGAAGGAATTCTGGGGCGTGTTTCAGCCACACTCCCTTACTGTCAGTTTCGGGGCTGTCACCATTCATACAGCATCTCTGGGGAACTATGATTTGCTTATCATAGGATAAGAGACAAAGAGTTCCATGTTAGGCCACAGCTCAATGGCTTTCTGCTGGTCTCAGCCTAGAATCTAAGGTGATGGACAGAAGGTCTCCAGCTATATTCCAAGCATCTGCAATTAATGTAGATGAATCAAGTAGGTCATGGAAAATACCTCCATCAGAAAGAACCGGACTGGGTCAGTTTGACTCCGGCACAAGGCTGTTTACGGTTACAATCAAGGCCACCTAACTGTGTCAATGGAACGGCAGAAAATTTCGGTGCCCACAGAAATCTGGCCACAGAGACCTGTTCTCCAAAGGATTTGTTCAGCCTAAGAAATCAACACCACCACTGGAATCAAGGAAGACTCCCCTCTAACAGCACAGCACCCTTCTCTGTGGAAACAATGCCAGCCCTTCTACTGAGAAGTAAACCAGAGGACAGTCTCTGTCCTGCACATCCATCTCTGTTATGTAAGGGACAGCTCCTTCTCCTGCAGCTGTGACTTTGATGGGAGTCTCATTACCAGTTCAGGTCCTGGCAAGGGGGCTGGGTGGTTGGAAGAGGCAGCTGGGCCTTACAAGTCAACAGCTGGAGGGCAGGTCTGCTGCTCCTCCCAGTATGTTTATTACACTTGCCATTTCCCAATTGGAAGAGATTGGTAGGAGGGACTTTCCCTGGAGGGCACAGCCTGGTGCAGGGTTATGCAACTCAGCAACATGTTAGCAGAGCATGACTGATCTCAGATGGCAAAAAAAAAGGGGGGGGAGAAGAGAAGGAAAATCAGAGGGATACTGGATGAGAGTGCCATAAAAAAAAAAGGGGGGGGAGAGAAGAGAAGGAAAATCAGAGGGATGCTGGATGATGAAAGTGCCATCACCCAAACCCCTAGAGAAAGAAAAGGAATCCATGTCGGCATTCCCTCATAGCCCTGCTATTTTATCAAACGGCTCTGAAATACAGCTGTCATTACATCAAAGGTTAGCTCACAGATGAAAGCAAGGCCACTTTAAATTGCGCTCTTATCTGTCTGTCTAAAAAAGACCTAAGACTTCTTCCATACACTGGTTTCCTAGAAAACTTACAGAAATGAAGGAAGGCTTTGGATGGAGCATCACAAACCTTTAAAGATACTAAAGAGATCTTTAGATACTACTTTAAAGAGACGAGGCATTGCCTCATGATGGTGCTGAACACTTGGTATTTTCACCCTAGGCAATAGCCCAAAAGTATGCCGTGTCTCCAAGGATGATAAAAAACTAAGATGAAGGACACTAGATGCATTTTGGTCAGAATGTGCAAAGTTACTAGTCCTAAGAACAGATGCATGGAATCAATTTCTGGACGGTAAATCAACACTTGTGTAAATCCTAGAATCAACGGGTCTGCTCTAACCAGGATGAACAATAGGTTACTGGCCTTGCATTCTGCAAGGCCCTCTATGTCCTGGTATCCAAACTCTATGAGTGAGATCTGAAGCAAAGTTTTCTTCTTTGCATTTAAAGGCTGCTATATTTAGGATCAAGTATAGAAAGGGATTACAAGCAAATGGGTTCCCTGAAAGCCTGCTAACAGCTGAGTGTGAGAAAAAAAGAACTAAGCTAATTCAGTCACTTTCTTGATGTCAAGCCTGACCAATATATCCTATGCATATTTTTGATCCAGAACAGCATGCACTGAATACAGTATTCTGGAAGCTAGCAAGGATAGCAGGCAACAACCCACATAACATTCTTATCTAAGTGCATGGAAAACTGTTGAAGGAACAGCCCGTTCACTTTTTATGTAACTTCTGGAATGCATACTGGAGGGTAAGACAGTCTCTAAAGCTACAGGAAATTTGAAGAGAAGGCTGCCAGAAAAACCTACCTTCCTGGGTAGGACCCAGCTGGGAGGTTGCTGCCAGTGTAAAGAGATTGTGGCTTCAGATGCAAACCTCATGCCTGGAAAAAGGAGTCAACAGTGGGGCCATACGGCAGGCACGCAGAACTCGTGAGTCACCAAACTAAATGCCACCTGCCAGCAGCGCATGGTGGCTTGAGTGAGTGACAGCTCCTTGTTTCTGTAGTCCCAGGCAGGCAGCCAAACAAGTTTAGCAAGACATTGGTTGACCTTCCTTTTGGCCTCAGTTCAGTACACCTGACTTTGGAAATTAATACCACTAACACCAGCTTGCTTCCTCATAGGAAATTAATACCACTAACACCAGCTTGCCTCCTCATAGCCTCCAGCCATCCACATTCACATTACAGAAGGAAGAGTCACTTTTCTTGCTCTAGAGTAGTGGCTGCAAACCTTGGGTCCCCAGAGGTTCCTCGGAAGCTTTCACCACCAGCTGCAAAGGCCAGGATTTCTGGGAGTTCCAGTCCAAAAACATCTGGGGATACAAGGTTGGGAACCACTGCTCTAGAGAGATCATACTGACAAAAATGTGCCAATATTAGCATTTGATATTGTCGACGTGCAAAATAGATCACTTTCCTTCCCATGGTACTCACTCACGGTAGCAGCATTTTAGAACATCCCTTGAGATCAACTACAGTTTTCCATAGTTTCGGCCAAGTACTTTGGCACTGCAGATTCCTGGTAACAAAATTGTGTATGGCTTTACAAATAATTCATGGATCTTCCATCTCTGAATTGTTTTGAAGCTTTGCTAGAAGTTCCTGGCATGAAAACTGGATGCCCTTTGTGCTTATGCTCAAGTTCAAGGCCACCCAGCTGATTCAGAGATTCACGTTTTCCACCTGAGCACTAACAACACTCTTGCTATAAAGTTAGCTCCCTCTGTGCCATCTGACCAGTGTGTGCATGCCCTACACAGAAGAGTGGCCCTTCTACTGCCCTAGGAAAGGGAAATGGAGCAAGATCAACCACATTCCTTATTCATGAATCCAAGAGACAAAGAAGTCCTTGCATGGAAATCCAGAAGAGGGAAAACTCTCTAACAGATGGGTGCTTAGCTTGCATCACCAGAGGTAACTTGTATCAGAGGTAAGAGAAGTAGGAGTGGAGGGAGTATGACTTTTCAAAGGAAGAGGAACTACAGAAAACAGATAAATGGTCAGATAGCTTTCCCTCATTCATGAACCTGAAATGCTTAATTCAATAATTCAAAAATCAAAATGCTGCTATTGGACTGCTGTCTAAATTCTGTGACCTTGCAATTTTTTTTTGTTCATACAAGGCATTAAGATTAATATTTCTTTCAGGCAGCTTCAGCTCCTGCAGTTTCTCTGAGCCCTGTGCAAAGGGCTGAGTAAAGCAGCAGGACTTTGCCTCACCCTCGACCGCCGAGGATCCCTATGCAAGAGGCGACACCAGATCAGAAGGCAACTTCTGCTGTTCCCAACCATAATACTGTATATGCAGTGAGGGAAGGCTAGAAAATAGGCCCATGGGGTAAGAAAGGACACACCAAAGTTCTTCCCCAATAGGACCCAATGCTATGGTGCAGGATTCCCAGGGGTAAGACGGAAGACCCCTGAATGGAGGTGAGAGTGCTGACAATATGTAATTCACGGTTCTTATGATGGCAGGCCAACAATACTTAATTAATCAGGCTGCTTTCTTCCAAAAAGCCTTTTAGTTAACCGAGCAATAAGTTGGATTTGGGTGTTTTTTTTTAAACAACAACTATGTTTGATATAAAACCACCAGTAGTAACCAACACCTTGAAAGAGGAACTTTCATTCTCACTCACACAAGAAGATGAATGATTCTTCAAAGCGACGCCTGCTACCTGTGGAACAGTGTGTAGGAACACAAGTGTATGCCTAGCCCTATTCTATTCCAAAAAGGGACATAATCCTGCTACTGTGTTGTGCAGACAACAGAAACAAAGAAACCCAAAACCCACAACGCCTGTGGGACACTTACCCCAGTTTTCAAAGCACACCAACACTTTGACCTGAGTTTAAGCAGCACAAGTAACCTGGTCCATCCTGGATTCCAGCTCAAAGGCATCGGGTCGGTCCTGTGGGTTAGCAGCCAACATGTCTTTCAAGAGCTGCTTGATCCCCTCGGACATGGAAGTCCTGCGTTTCTGGGGGATGTGCAACTCCATCTTTGGGTTCTCTAGCAGCGCTTCCCCAACAGGTACAATCTCAGTCCCTTGCTTGATATAGGTCCCCAGCAGCTCCTTCTTGGTCTCGGCATCAATAAAGGTTATCCTCTCTATCATTGCCCAGATGATGATGCCCAGGGCAAAAATGTCTGCCTTGGCCGTATAGTGTCCCTCCCAGACCTCCGGAGCCATGTAGAAGTCTGAGCCGCACGCAGATGACAACCAGTACTTGTTCACATTCACATTCTTGTCATCGTTCCCCCCATCCTTGCCTCGAGCAGTCAAGCCAGCGCACACCTTGCTGAGCCCAAAGTCTGCCACTTTGAGGATGGGAGCGCCCGACGTCTCTGTGATCAGGATGTTGTCCGGCTTCAGGTCCCTGTGCACAATGTGATTCTTGTGCAGGAAGGCAATGGCACTTGTCAGCTGCAGCATAAAACTCTTGTTGGTAGCGGGGTCCGGTCTACGGGAAAGAATGTACTGGTTCAGGTCTCCTCCTTCACAGTACTCCATGACAAACCAAAGATAGCACGGTTCTTCAGCGTAGCCCAGAATCCTCTCACCTTCCCAGGGAGGGGGAAATAAAAAGACAAGGACAAGAATTACTGCACAGGCAAGATAGGAAGTTAGACAAGCTGAATTTGAACTTGTAAATGCAGACAACTCACAGAGGCATGCCTATCAACCCGCTCCACAGGAAAATAATATTAACAAAACAATTCAGATTTAGGTAGAGTGAAGCCAACCTACTCTGACTACCAAGAAGATATGATAGCCATCTTCAAGTGTTTGAAGGGCTGTCTCGTGGAAGATGGGACATGCTTTGTATCTTCCACCTCAAGAGAACAAGGCCAGAAGAAATGAATTCAAGTTATCAGAAAGGAGATTTTAATTAAACATTAGGAAGCACTTCCTAACAGTAAGTCATTTGACAGTGGAATCAAGTGCCTCTGGGAAGTGGGGAGGCTCAGACTCTCCTTCACTGGACATTTTTAAGCATAGGTTGGATGGCCACCTATCAGAGATGCTTTAGCTGTGGATGTCCTGTCATCAGGCTGAACTCAGTGATGATTCTGTGAAAATGTGTAAAGCAGAGAGCTAGGCCTTATGTGTTTACAGCACTGCATGCCACAGTCTTATGCAATGAGTACTAATAGGAAGGTTTGGAGCTATAAATATGCAGTAAGTCCACCTACTTTAATCAGGCAGCCATGTCCATGCACGGCCCCATCTCCTCTCTGCCCATTTCCCCGTAATACCATAAGACAGCATGGCTACAGTCACACAGTGGGGCGTAATAAGGCCAATATTAACAGCTTGGCAGGTTCACCCATGACTCAGCCTATAAATATTCTAAGAAAATAGGCAAAGGCACAGCAGCTTGTGTAGGAAGCCCTCATTCATGGCTTAAGGCAAGCTTATTTTAAGTGGAAGGGAGAACCCTGGGGTCTTGCTGCAAAGCACATTTGGCCAGAGTGTAAGCAAGACTCAGACCATTTTATTCTTTCTTCAATTAGCCTGTTTGTTGCACACCTACATAACAGATGTAAGCTCCAAAGTCCATAATGGCCCTTATGCTCTCTCTCTCTTTCTTTCTATAAATAGATAGATAGAGAGAGAGTTTGTTTACAGTCCTTAGACCAGTCACATATGTATAAAACCTACAAGGACTGCATACATGCACACACCAACAGCAAAGGGTCACGGACAATGATGACATATTGTGCCCTTAACTGTCACAAGAAACATAAGCTCTGAACTGTCCCTCTTTCTCCTACTGAATTCTCTCTTCTGGGCTCTCACATATTTCGCATACCGTTTCATGACACCTTACAGCAAGTTAGTCGTTTTACAGCGGATCCCTGGGAAGCAGACCAGACAGCAGAAGAAAAGCTCCAAAGAGAGGAAGCCAAGTATGACTGAACACAGCTTGATCCTGTACAAGAGCTAGCAGGGCTTCAGAAAGAGCCACGGCAATAATGGGTAGTGGACAGATAGCAAGGAACGCTGTTATTTGTGTAAACAAGTCTGTCACCATGGCTATTACTATGGTAATTGAAGACCATATCGTAATTTGGCCGTCCTTTCTTATCAACAGGAATAGTGAAAACCTTTTAAAAGACAAAAATAACATTATAAAAGTGTGCCCCAACAAACCTCTAGGTTTGAAATCAAGGCTTTTGATTTCACATTGGGAAAAAACGGAAGAGGAAAATAATGCTCTTTCACCTTATACTCTAGCTGGGCCATTTGCTGTGCATTATACTTTTCACCTCTGGAGGTGAACAAAAGAAAAGGCAGGCAGTGACAACCAGGAAATGGAAAAAAGACTAGTTCTACACTCTTATGGGGCCAGCTAATGACGCTGCAAATCACACACAGGCTTTCACCTCTTCTCCATTCAAAGCTCAACACCACCCTATTAAGAAACAATGTGGTTTTTATTCTGTGTGGCGATTGCTTTTTCAGTCATTGCTTGGGAAGGCTACCTAATATTGAAATAGAATTCAACGGGGACTGATCATTGGTGTGCTAAGTTCACCCTGTTCCAAGATTATTATGGGAACAGATTAAAGATGTCCTCAACAAGATAAACTCTTGAGACTCTTGAGAGTCCCCTGGACTGCAGGGAGATCAAACCTATCCATTCTAAAAGAAATGAACCCTGAATGCTCACTGGAAGGACAGATCCTGAAGCTGAGGCTCCAATCCTTTGGCCATCTCATGAGAAGAGAAGACTCCCTGGAAAAGACCCTGATGTTGGGAAAGTGTGAAGGCAAGAGGAGAAGGGGACGACAGAGGATGAGATGGATGGACAGTGTCATCGAAGCGACCAACATGACTTTGACCCAATTCCGGGAGGCAGTGGAAGACAGGAGGGCATGGCGTACTCTGGTCCATGGGGTCACAAAGAGTCCGACACGACTTAACGACTAAACAACAACAGGATAAATACTGGTCTAGTTGAGCACAATTACAGAAGTGACTAAATAAACTTCCCACTATTACCTTAGATCCAGGAGGCCCACTCAGCCCTACATACAAAGGTATCTGGATATAGGATGAAGTCTGCAGGTAATAATTTTGAAATGAAGCTGACACAAAGGGTGTGTCCTTCTCCTCTTAATGTGCTCTACTGTACAGTAGTCTCCTTCCCCTCTCCCACTTTAGTATCACTACTGTCTCTGGCTCAACAGGCTTCCTATACATACAAAAAGCTTGTAGAATGTCTACTAAGAATAGAAGAACAAAGTACACAGGCTGAAAGTAAGGAAGCTTTATCGGTCCTGTCCTGCCATAACGTTTCTGAGATTTGTCCAGTTGAAAGAGCTTGCAGTGGAATATCAACACCCTAGTTAAGTTTCACTAAACCTTTTCATACTGTGATAAGTACGACTGGGTTCAAACTGCTATTTCCTGATGACTGCTCTAGAATGGCTTAGCATTTTTCTCCACTTCGCAAGCTTTCCAAGTTAAACCAGTAGGCATGAAGCGAGAGGTTGTTTGACTCAAGTCTCATTCTGTTTAATGGTGCAAGAAAACACAAATGAACCAGAGCCAGAACAACGCACGCCACTTTTGACATGGCTTCCAAAAAGCTTAAAAAGGGACCCTCTATGTCTATTCTCCATGATTAGCTCCAAATTAGAAATTAAAGTTGGTTAGTGTTCCTTTACACAACCACCATCATCTCTTTCCAGGCACAAGTGAGCCGTGATGTTGTGCTGAACAGCTAACACAGGGCGGCAAACTGTAATGATGAGAACTAGATACTCAAAAGCTGCTGATGCCAAACGAACAACACACACTGAACGATTCCTCTGCACTGCCCATCCATCGGAGCAGCCCATGAGCTCCTGCATGGCACGCAGCTGAGCGTGCTGGCTGACACGTGAATGGGACTGGCTCCATGAGCTCCTGCATGGCACGCAGCTGAGCAGCATCAGCAGCATGCTGGCTGACACGTGAATGGGGCTGGCTTATCTCTAATAAGCTAGCTCTCCACAGTGACACTATGGCCAGTGAGGAACAGCACGCAGCCCGGCACAAGCCAGGCCTGGGTTGTATTCTGGAGTTAGGGCTCTGCACGTTGTTGCAGCATGTGGAACATCTCTCTCTCTCAAAACTTCAGACACTGATGGTTTAATTCTGCTGAAGTCTTAGGAATACCCTTTTCAAGACACTAAGGTATAACATTTAAAGTACAGGGAACAAAACACTAGCAACAACATTGGTCTAAAATAATTCCTCCACAGAGAGTATAGTTGTTTGCTTTTTCACTTTATTTAGCATCAGTCATTCAGACTACAAGCAAGCAATGTGGTGTCTTCTAGATGCTTGAGACACTCTCTGGCCCTACTATCTGGGCACGTGGTTCAAAACACAGGAAAGGGACCAGAGTAACCTACTCTTGCCCTGCACAGTAATTCCCACAATCTGGTTCTTAGGTACACTGGCCTTGGGTGCTGTGCCAAAGGGCACAGCTCTGGTGATTCATAGAAGCAGAGGAGGCTGACTGGTGTGGGACTGGTCCCGTAGGGGCAGAATAGTCACCAAACTGGGGGAAGATGGGCAGTTTTAGGTGGCATTTGATAATCCCAAGGAAATCAACTGGTACTGCTGGGAAAGTATTACTACCAGAGACGGGTAACACTACATTTTAAAGCAATTCCAAAACTTGTGGCCCCAGATGTTGTTTGTGTATAACTCCCAGAATCTCTGACTTTTCACTATACTAAGTTGGAGCTGATGCCCAGCAATGTATGGGGATCCATGTTTTTGAAGGGAGACTTTACCTATGAGCCTCCAGTTTTGTCTACACGTAGCATCCAAGTGAGCAAAAAAAGCAGTGTATGGCTTATATACTGCCCCATAGCACTTCAAGCACTCTCTGGACAGTTTACAAGTTAATTACACGAGCTACACATAGCTCCCCAGCAAGCTGGGTACTCATTTTACTGACCTCAGAAGGACAGAAGGCTAAGTGAACCTGGAGCCGGCTACCTGGGATTGAACCCAGATCGTGAGCAGAGGCTCCTCAAGTGAAGAGGAATGAAACCACTGTGCCAAGAGGCTGCTCAAGTGAAGAGGAATGAACGATTTACAGCAGTTGCTATTTTCTTCTTTCAGGCTGCAAATAACTAAACCTCGACATTGGCAGACAACAGATCTGTTAACTACTAATTTGTGCATATTTGAATATGCTCAAGATGCAAACCTAAGGACCTGAATTACAAGGCTGATAAAATAAAGCCCCATTAACTTTAAGTAAGGTCTCCACAGACCTCATATACATCATGCTCTAGTATGTCTGTGCCTGGAGTCTCTGCAGAATTCAAATACAATCCATATGACTAGGATCTTTTTTTTCAACTATTACTATTGCAATGATTGTTCAGATCTGACTGGTCCATACAGGAAGATAGTTTCAGAATATAACTGCAGCAGAATGAGTATCCATCCAAGGCAAGGTTGACGTTCTACACATGCTTAGGATGGCGCCGTTCGTGGCAGACAGAAGTAATGCCTGCCTGTAATGTTCTTCACCCAGACCCTATAAAATACAGTAGCTTCTATAGAATATGTTTCTCTATGAATGGCTATTCTATAAAACCTTTTTTTCACAAATTATGCTAACTGTATGCGAACTATATTAGAGCACTTCAGGTACTGGGTATCTTCCTCAAGTACTTGCTTGGAGAAATGTGTACAGAAATTAGTAAATGTGTGGAAATATCATGGGGGCTGCTTTGAGATTCAGATAGTTATAGACTTGCATTTGGCAACCCTGTGCTCACAAGACCATGGGCCCCATTTGCTCTCCCTTTAAGGAAGGTCTCCACAAGGTAAGCAATTCTGAAAACTCAAGTTTGCTTGGAACTTTGGGGAGCGGATATTAATCCACGCAGACCGTATTTTCCCACCACAGATGCATCCAGATCTTCTTGGTCTGCAATTGCTGTCATTCCCAGCCAGTACTGTGAACTAAGAATTAGGGAAGTCATAGGCCAATACATGTGACAGAGCTATGTCAGGAAAGGCTAGCATAAACAATATTGAGCTAGATTGACTGATCACTGTAAGACAGTTTTCTACTGCTCTTCTCACTAGATCTATATAGTTAAGGATAACATCCTTGCCTTTCCCCATTTATTTCTGAATTCCACAAGTTTAGAACATGTGCACGCAAGACCCTGAATCCATCCGGCAGCCTGAGCTAGAGTGGAACCTTTAAATCAATGGAATTTATGTAAGTGTTCACTCACCATCTAGCAACTCATTCAACTCTAGATGGGACTAGCAGTTAAGACTCAGGGTACTGTGCTTAGAATCCTTTCCTCATCTCAAGTAATGGCATGCAAATACATACATATTTACATAAGAATTACATGAATCAGACCAACTGGCATAGAGAGTTATTCATACAGAGGAATCTGTTCTTTCTCCCCAACTTACAGATTACATGAATCAGACCAACTGGCATAGAGTTATTCATACAGGGGAATCTGTTCTTTCTCCCCAACTTACCTCTCCACAAAATGCCATATAGTGAAAGACGTACACCAGCTTGCATATAAACCCTCTCTTTTGCACACAAACCCATTTACTTGCTATATGCACTGTACATGGGAGGGGGGTTTCCTGAGGATGTAGTACCCAAGGCTTATGTTCTATAACAGTTACACTCCTAGATATGCTGGAGGCAGTTTAAGAAATTACTAAATTGGGTGTACATAAGGAAGGAGGTCTCATGGAGGAAACTATGATTTTACCTTTTCTTGTGGAAATGCAAAGCTTCCCTTGGATGGAAGCCTTAAGGTTTGAGAACTAGCATGTCAACATTTCTCTTACATGCTATATAAAAGAGAAAAGCCTTCCTTTTCAGAGTAAGCCCTGCCATGAGGCAGAGTGAAGCAAGGAACAGGTGACATAAAGGGGCTGCTTGAGAAGCTCCACGGCCTTTCACACACACACCCCTTTCTGTTGGGAGGTCAGAACTGTGTGCTTCATCCCCATCCCACCCCCAGCTAACCTGCTGTCCTCAGGTGAGCCAGAGGGTGCAATTCTCCTGCTTTATCACCTGCAAAGGGAGTCCGCTTCTGTAAGTGGAATTAGAGAAAGGCACCCTCTTGGCCTCCACCTCCCAAAAACAATCCATCTCCTCCTGGGACCTACCTTCGGGTAGCAGGACAGGAAGGCTCACTGACTCCAAAGGAGTCCCCTCACCACCCTCAGTCAAGACTTGTAACAGTTACACAGGGGATCTGGCTAAGCCCTGGGACATTTTGTTTGGCCGCTGGCTCTCTGTGTGTGTGTGTGTGTGTGTCTGTATCTGTGTGTCTGTGTGTCTGGCCCCTGGCTGTGTGTGTTTTCTCCCAAATGCAAACAGCCTCCGGAAAAGTTCCTGCCAAATAAAAAATCTGGACGGTGTCCCCAGGATCCTTCCTCCTTCTCTTGCTATAGGGAGACCCTGCCCACCTCCCCAAATGGGTCCAGGCACTCAAAACAAAAGGAGGGAAAAGATGGGTGGGGTGGGGGGACCTGCAAGGGCGATGCACAATCCGAGCCCCCCCACTTCAGAGGGGTGTGTGTGTCTGGAGGGGAGAGATGACTCCTCCATGGGACCCCTTGCAAGGGACCCCCCCCCGGCAGCCTCCGCGTTTACTCCCGAGGTGCGGGTGATAGGAGGGGGAAGGGTGTCTCTCTCTCTCTCTGGGCGCAAGAGGGGCTTCCTCTCTCCCCCCCCAGCCCCAAAAGGGAGGCTCTCTCCCCCCCAAACTCCTCAGGGGGGGGGTGGGGGGCGGCCCTTGCTCACCTTTGAGGGAGGTCTCGACCAGGCGGAGGTAGAGGGCGCTCTGCTTGTTCCCGTGGCTCATCCGCTGCCCGAGGCCGTCCCGCTGGAGGACGCACTCCTCGAAGCGGACCACGTTGGGGTGGCGGCGCCGGAGGCTGGTCAAGGCCCAGAACTCGGCCAGGGCCAGCTCCACGTTCTCGGGGGCGTCGCAGCGGATGCGCTTGACGGCCAGGCGGGCCCCGGTGCGGCCGGACACGGCCTCGTAGACCACCCCGTAGGCGCCCCGCCCGATCTCCGCCACCAAGCGGTAGCGAGGCGGGGAAGAAGAGGAGGCCTGGCTCGGGCCGCCTCCCACCTCCATGGCCGTGGAGGCCGAGGCCGGAGCCAGGGCCTTGGTGGTGGTGGTGGCGGCGGCGCAGGCCCCCCTCAGCGGCGGCGGGACCCGCTA